TTTTTTAAATAGGCATTTTCTCTGCGATCAAAAAAAGTTTATCTTCAAAACAAAGTCAAACTTTACAGTATAACAAAAGTCACATTTCATACCCTCTAGTATACAGAGGGCTTTAAAGATGCATGCCCGTTTTTCATAATAACCTCTGTAAATCACATTGGACAGCTGCTTACTCATTTTCGCTGTCTGCTTGGAATTAATCAAAACCTATACGCTTTTGTTTATCCCTTTATGTTTTGAGAAGTGAAAACTTTTTCTTGCTGTTTTAAGATCTTTGAAGCATCCTGGCAGTTCATATAAAAGTCAGGATGTGTGATCAACTTGTGCCTGTGCTGCCGCAGTGTTCCATCTCAATGGATGAACATCTTTCTTAGACGGTAGCCATTGTTGAAACATAAAGACATTGATCTGAAGCTCTTGCCCCTCTGACTGAGATCACTATATCAATCTGTCTGTTAATTAGATTATTAATTAGCAGGAGCCTTTTACAGCTTCACCTGTTTTAACAATAACATGACTTTAAATTGCTGATCTTTTGGAAAAAACATGTTTATGGTAAAAACAAGTTATTAGGTGGATGCATTTTGTTTGCCCTCAAAGCAGAAATGACACCTTTGCTTTGTTTTGAAATAAACACTACCCAGCAATAATTTGTTCCACTTTAATTCTCTTTATATTTACACACTTTGTGATGAATCTTTATGTGTTTTTGCTGATGCATCCCTAATCCTCATGTAACAGCATGTGACAAGACTGTCTTCAGTCATAGAAAACCTTTTTTCTCTCTAATATTCTAAAGCTATATGAGCATGAAATATAGTTCTGTTTCTTACTGCTGTGTGTATCCATTTGTTCAACAAATCCCAGCAAAGCTTTTAATTACAGGGGCCAAATTACAGTATATTTGAAACACCTGTGTGGGTTCTTCTGTTATTGATCAATCGACTGCTGTCATTATTAAACAACTTCAGTTTGTATTCACTAGAGGGTGCCCTAGCTATGAAAAAAAACCTAATCACATCATAGTGTTTTGGTACCGTAGTTTAATTGCTTTATCCTTTAATATTTTATAAATTTATTCTGCAATGAAAGACAAGGCATGTTTATTTATGCAGTACATTTCAGTGGCAAGACATTTCAAAGTGCTGTACATTAGAAAAAATTAATAAATATTTGTGGCATAAAGGCAAAACAAATAGTTGAAGAGAATTTAAAAAAAGATAGAACGTTAAATTGATAAGATCAAAATAATGGATTGATAAGAAGGAATCCCCTTAAATGCTTTATCTTAATATGTTTAAACTAGAAAAAAAGGTCAAAAGACCAGGTTTCAAACCTGTGACAGATTGAGGACAGAATCCTCTGAACATGGGTCTTGTGTTTAACCCCTGCAGCACCGCCGCACCCAAGCTGGATTGAAACCCTAATTAAATGTTTAGATAGCGCAGTCAAAAGCATATCTAAATAAATATATAGTGCTTATTCTAAATTGAAAGAAAATGAGGGTTATAGTGCTTTCACAACTTTCTGGAAGTTTATTCCAGGCCAGTGTATCATAAAAACTAAAAGCTGCCGCTCCATGTTTGGTTCCAGTTCTGGGTTCACAGAGTAGATTTGAATCAGAAGACCTGACAGATGTGGACAGTAGATACACTGACAGCAAGTCTGTGATGTACTTTGGGGCTAAGCCTTCCTTTCAGTGATTTAAAGACTAGCAGAAGTCTGTTCTCTGAGATACAGGCAGCCAATATAACGATTTTAGAACTGGGATGATGTGCTCCATTTTTTTAGCTTTGGTGAGGACCCTGGCAGCATCTTTCTGGATCAGCAGCAGCTGTCTGATCCACTCTTTAGGTTTGAATACATGGATTCTAGTAAAGAAAAGCACAGGAATTATTTTTTTTAAGGTCATGCTAAGACATTAGTCCTTTAATCCCGGAGATGATCTTTAGGTGATTGAAAGCCGACTTTTTAGAGCCTCTGAAATTTCAGGTCTGAGTCCATCGCTACACCCAGATTTCCAGCCTCATTGCAGGATCCTAGCTCTATTACTGAAGCTCTATGCTAACTCCCTTGGTTCAAAAATGATTACTATAGTTTTGTTTTGGTTGATTATTCTCTGTGTTCTATGTCATTAAAAGCTGAATATGTTTTTCTTTGTCTTTTTTTTTAGCACTAAGACATTTGCTCCTTTTGATATGATAGTTTTATAGTTTTATATTAGTTTTCAGAATAATATATACACGAAATAACATTGTTGACAAAAGTTTAGATAGCTTAAGAAAGCTATAGACACAAATCAGGGTTTTAAATTTATTGCTTTAAAAGAAAACAAGTGCTTAACACGAAGAGACGTACGCAGAAGTCATTCCAATCCAGAAAAGCTATGTGTATTTTGCATTTTTATTTTACAACCGGTTAATGCCAGAGGAGGTCTGAATGTGTCACAGAGTATTAGAGAGGCTCCAATAATCCGGGGAAACACAGAACATTCATACTAAGGAATCATATAGCAAAAATGTATTTATTCTGACAAGTTGCTTTTCTTCTGCTAGATGTAATAGTTAGAACACGATGCATTTCTCAAAAGAAATGCACTCAGCTTCGGTTACAAAAAACATAGATTTGTCTCCTATCTTATATCAACATTTTCCAGGAAAAGTTACCGAATAAATTTTGTATCAGAGTAGAAATGTCAGGGTGACCATTAGTACAAAAGTGTTTTATGGGGCAGCTCAAAGCACCCTGTCATAAATGTTAGTATTTTAGGCTGCAGTCCGTTCTAAGTATGTCACTTGATGGCTTTTTAACTGTTTCATAATATCTGCTTTCATTCTGATTCTTACAAAGCTCGATCATGAAAAACGTCTTGGAGGAAGAAAATATATTTTCTTTCTTTATTCTTTTTTTTTTTCTTGACAAATACATACTTGATATTTACTGTTTTCCTTCAAGGAAGCAATCCTTAGCTAAGAATTAAAGATGCCAAAATGAATTTTTGCTGTTAAGTGGATGCCTGGGGTAGGGCAGCTGCACGCGGTCTGGACGCCACGGTTTGGATTCCCTTCCAGAATGAGCTTCAGGGGAACTAAGGGGGAGTTAGTTTATGTAAGACAATAAGACTCTGAAGAGGAAGATCATTTGAGGATGAAAGTAGTTAAATGTTTCATCAATTCTGATTGAAGTGAGCCTCTGACTCAGTCTCTGTGAGGAGCTAACTTTAATAAAGAAGGGTCCATCTGAATACTTCAAATCCAATTTGGAGGAATTCCCTGTTCATGCCTAGAAAAATTTGTTATGGTAATAATTTAATCGCTGCAAGCATGAAAGGGATATTCAGTTATTATGTTAAGGTAACAGGCTTCAAAACTTTCCAGTACTCCGAGTCATATCTCTCTTCAAATTTTGTTTTAATCATGCATATATCCCTCGTTTTATAAAATAGTAAATACCAACCTGTTTTATTTTGCAATAAAAAAAAAAAGCTTTTTATCTAAGTCTCTCTTCTATGCCTGCTTCTTTGTGTCGTCTGCTGGGATGAGAATTAGCATTTTT